AGTTTATGTATTTCTCTCTTTCTTTTGTTTGAATTTTTACTTTTTCAGAATCAGAAAGCAAGATGTTCGGAAAATGAGGTCGTGTACGATCTGTTAGCAACTGTGGGCCATGTGCAGGACTTCAAATCGGGTGGAAACCTGGTGGCTCACATTCATGTTGGTAATACCTACCACAGTCGTAAAGAGGTTCGGGCGAGTCTCAAATAATCCCTAGTTGTTCGTGTCACATGAATGTAGTGATAAATCTTTTTTCACGTTTGGACTGAAACATTTTGTGCGAACTCTTTTTAAGAACAAAAAAATACTTTTTTTTCTGCATGAAATCCTAGTAAGTTTCTGGAGAACCAGCATCAATGTTCCTGTTCTTTTTTTTCTTTTTTTCTTTTTTCTAGGGCGTGACATGCAGTCAGTGGTACTTATTTAATGATTTCGCCATCACTCCTATATCACCAGTAAGCTACAGCTTTTTGGTTTAATGATATTGATGACAAATAATATATTTCAGTTGAATACGATTTAAAGAATACATTGTACAAATAGTGTCATCTGCGGATAAGAAAAAAACGTAGATATGTCGCTTATTCTCTTTTCATGAACGTATTCTGAGAAGCAATCATTGGATTGTCTTACGGGCCTGAAAACGCAGGGCGACACGTCGTTGGGACAAGTCACGGGACAAGTCTCAGCGACAATTCGCTTCGTGAGAGAATAACCCTTAATTAAGCACGAATTTTTGGTACCGCAACAATGATCGGAGTGATAGAGGGAGTAACGACTTGCTTTGGAAGCAACACACGCGAGGCGTTTTGACGTGGAGACCAGCCATAGCGACTTTGACCTTCTGTGGCCTAGCCTCCATAAAATGACGTGGTATTTATATTTCTGCAGAACGATGCAGTTCATTTTTCGTTAGATTGGAAGTTACCATGTGCTGTTGTTTTTACAAGGAGAGACATAAATGGTCGTCATGAAACTGCAAGTAAGTAGTAGATATGATTCAGTTTGTTTGATGTGATTCATTTCAACTCATTTATATTTTCCCTTGTCACAATAGTCCGTCAAAGAATCGATGACAGCGTTTTGTATCAGGACGTGTCCCTTGTCAGAAGAGGCAGCGTGTCCCGTGATTTCACCCCCCTGGGACCTGATGAGCTGCCGAAAGAGGGAGATCTTGTGGGGCTAGACGCAGAATTTGTAACACTGAATCAGGTGTGAACCATTCTGTATAATTCTTGAAAACAGATCTGTGGGATTCTTGTACCGCTCAAGGTCTTTGAAGGGCTTGAAGTTGTCTTTATATTATTTACAGTCATTGTGAACACATTTATTTATTTATTTATTTATTTATTTCAATCTCTGCAGTTGGGTTGTTCGAAAGCCGATTGACACCAATCATTTGTTAACTACTTCGTAAAAACCTGCCCGTTGCAATCAATTTGAATAAATGCTCAGAATGCTTTGAAAAATCCACATTGAAAATTTCGTAACCCAAGTGTGACTGCAGTTCTCACTTGTTGTTCTTAAGGTCCTTAACATTTGAAGTCAGTGGGGAAGTTCTACCGTGGTTGAAAAACTAAAATCTGTGTAATTCCCTGCGTTTTTGCTATCACTAGGAAAGCAGTGAGTTCGTCACTGATCGAATCCAATTTTCCTGACGCATTGACAGGTTGGGGGGGCGGGGTATGTGCACATGTGGGTACTCAAGCAGAACCTTATTTAGCAGCGTGTTAATTTTTTAGGAGGAAGCAGAGATAAGAAGTGATGGCACCAGGTCAACCATAAAACCAAGTCAGATGAGTGTAGCGCGTGTTACCGTCGTCCGAGGGTAAGAATGCCATGGTCGTTACCTTCGCGTTTATTCCCATTGCATGCATTGAAGAACAGCAATTAGAATTAGAGTCTCAAAAGACTACTTTGGATTGTCCATACTAACATACACTGATCAGTGATGTGACATTCTTGTAAAGGTACCTTACTTAGTGTTGATTTAATTTACGACCCTACCTACCTCTTTTTATGGAGTGTAAATATCAGCTGCATGGCGGCTGATCCCTATTGAGCATTATAACGAAAAGTGCTCGTTCTGTTCTATCTTGAATTTTCGTGTTACCGGTACTCATATTTTCATTTTTTCTGCAGAAATGGGCAATTGACTGGTGTACCATTTATTGATGACTACATTTCAACCACAGAACAGGTTAGTCTCATTTCTTGCAGATATTGGGATATTGATTTCAAGCTATTGCCATCTAAACAGAGGGCTACATCACCTTGAAACTTTAGCTTACTGGAAAACAGTTATTTGACGATTGTCTAGTTGACATTTTCTTGCTAAAGCTTAGTGATTTGTGATAAGAGTTTCTTCCCTGACATAAACCCACGACATGAATGGCCTGACGTGACGCAAAAAGCGTGAAGAACACGATTCGCTATCTATTCAGGCTTACTCCTAAAATCCTCAGTTAGTTTGTCTTCCACGGCATGGCGTGATGCGTCAAGTCGCGAAGAGTGTGAAGAATAAGAATCGCAGTCTATGCAGGCGTCCGGCCAGAAAGGTTTGGCAAGGAGTAAGGTCGCTTGATTGTTTCCTATTTGTCGCTGTTCCTCGCACATGTTTAAAGGAGCTAAGAAAATAGGAGGTTTAAAATGGACTTTATGATGATTCGATCTTTGCCTTTCAGGTTGTTGATTACCTAACCAAGTTTTCAGGTATAAAACCAGGGGACTTGGACGCAACAATGTCTTCCAAACATCTCACCACACTTAAAACTACTTATCGCAAGCTGAGGGCTTTAGTCGCAAGAAAAGTGAAGTTTGTTGGTCATGGCCTGAAGAAAGATTTCCGAGTCATAAACATATTGGTACGTTATGATTATAGAGAGGATATGATGTTGTTTTACGGCGCGACAAAATCATGACCCATTTACCTATACACTACCATACTAAACCTAGCCAAAACTAAGTTTTGTTACTGATGGTGTTCTTATTTATTAACATCTTTTTACGTCTATCTTTTTTTTTTGCTTTTGGTTTGCTGATACATGTTGTTGTCATAGTTGCTGTTGTTATGTTGTTGCTGTTCTTCTCCTTCGTCGTCGTCTTTTACCAAGTAGGTAAATTTGTGTTCTATAAACGAGTTGTTGTACTTTCTAGGTTCCAAAAGAGCAAGTATTTGACACTGTGGAACTCTTTCATCTGCCACGTCAACGATTCATTTCCTTGCGATTTTTGGCCTGGTATTTTCTAGGTAGATCTATGAATACTGTAAAACTTTGTTGCCTGATGTCTTTTATTTGACTTATACGACCAACTGACTGACTTTGGTTTAACGATTGATTTATTGATTGAGTGAGTAACCAGTTGATTGATTGAAATATTTATCTATTCATTTATTGGTTGATCGTACCACGGCAATTTAGCTCATCATTGAGTTCTCAGTTGCACAGTGGTAGAGCAACATAGCGCGGGATCCCAAGGTCTGAGGTTTGACTCCGCCTGGAGGACGCAGACTCTCTTTGTCCCACGCTTTGCCCCACGCTCCAAGACAAAACGAATAAAAGATTCCTTTATTCCATAACTCAACTGGATACGAGCCAATTTTGTAATTCTACTAGCTTCGAATTTATAATTGTCCTTAACATTTTATTTGTCATGTTTACTGCAGGGTTAACAATCCAGTCCGAAACTCATGATAGTACTGAAGACGCCAAAACAGCCTTACAACTGTACAGGAAATACGAAGAGTTGTCTTCAAAAGGAGAGTTTAGAAAAGTTTTGAAACAGCTTTACGAGGATGGAAGAAAGTCTGGATGGAAAGTTGAAGAAAAGGATTATTAATACCTCTAATGCCTTTTAGTTTGGAACGAGATGAGCTGTTTTTTTTTTCAGCATCTATTAACGACGACATTCCTCATGGCTCAGAACTGTGTAGATATTTACAAGATATTAAATTATTTATCAAATGCATCAGCTCGCTGTTATTTCGTGCTATCGGAGTTAAAGACATTTAGAGAAAAAAAAAGTTAGCACTTGACCCTACATTTAATAAAAAAGGAATACTGGCTTGCGTGGAACAACCCCGGTTTCTTTGTGTGTGTGTGTGTGTGTGTGTCGTTTTGCTTGTTGTTTTATATCTTTGTATATATTCTAATTTTTTTAGTATTTTTTAAGAGTTACTGGGATCATAGAAAATATATCATAAATAAGATTGAGAGCATAATTGCTCTCTCGGCGATGAATATGCGTTATAGCAAGTGTGGTGCTAAGATGTCTGAGTATAGCGTTTTTGTTTCTCGATCTCGATTTGTTTCAAAAACATTACTTTAGGCTCGTCTTAGTTTTCTATTGGCGACTGTCTTCAAGAATTAAACGGTTGATCTACAAACTTTTTGAAAACTTTTTCCCCGAAAAGGGGAAGAAACGGGAAGACGACTGGGTGATCGATTCCAAGAAGACCATCGTGACGTAGAAAAGAATGACAAAGATGCATCTAAGCCAGTCGCAAGACACTTTATTCTCCCAATCATTTTTAAAAAAATATGGCATTCTGCGACCTTTCCTTACATCTAGGCTGTTCGGAAAGCCGCGAATCTCTAGAACTAAAGTTAATCTTTCAAATCGGCGGTCTAAGGCGTCCTCTTACTCTCTGCCGTATCAACGAAAGCTTTTAATTTGGCTATTTTTTCCTTGTCTTTTTCACGTTACTGTGTTCCCACTAATAGCGTAACTCAATCTCCCTGTACATAAATCACACATGTATAGGACTTGAAACGTTAGCTTCGGAAACTCTCCACAGTGGCTACTTTACTTGATCAACTCAAGTATTAAAACCAAATTATCTTGTGATCCTTCCCTCTGAACACAGTTCCTTGAGAGACTTTCTCCCTTTCTTTATCTTTAAACTTACATAAGTTCCAATTTTTTCCTGGGACAGTTTGTTCCCATTCTATCACAAGAGCGAAAGGCTTATCCCAGCATTCTAAGCGGTCACAAAATAGTGACTCACCGTTACAACTTGACGTGTTTGCGTGATGAACGAAATTATGGAGATCCATATCCATAGAACGATATCATGCCTCATTATGGCTGTGCTTTTTTTGTTATGGGACTATTCTTCAGGTAAAATCTATGGAATATTCAGCACTGCTTGTTTTATTGGCGCAATAGCACAATACTTAATGATGTATATGTTTCACCTTGCAGCTGAAGGCCCACGAGTCCGTCTATTCTCTGCTACAGACTTCATGCTTTTCGATAGCAATGACCTTCTTTATTTTGAAATCTTACAACCAAAGAACATAAGTTATATCTACAAGGTTAAACCAGCGAAAAACTTCGGAACCAAATTTGTAAGTAATTCAATAATTGATGTCAACGAACTATTTCTTAATTATAAAATCTTAATTACTAGCTGAGTCAGCCCAAATGCGGACGCAGTCATTTTATTTATCACGTTCCCAAGAGAGTCTGAGCTTGTTTTCACCTGTGCCACCGGTTTAATCAGAAATGTAACGTCCTAAACCTCCTTCACTTTCTACGTTTTCCCTTTCAACTTCCTTGCATTCGGTTTGAGCCCTACTTTAATTTGCCTTGTAATAAAGTTGTCTTGGGTTAGTTTTTGTAAAGGTCCATGTAGTGGTTTAAAGGCATTCTCTGTACAGGTATGAATCACTGTAGAGAGCTAATCGTCAATCGATATCTTTTCAAAAAACGCCTTTTAGCCCCTTAACTCCCAGAAGTGACAAACATTTACCTTCTCCCTTTGATATCCACTTGTTTTCTAGCAAACGGTTGATGAGAATACTCAAACTTATCAGGAATTTTATCGTGATCTTGGACCAAATTCTCGTAACTAATTTACAAGGAATTGTGTAGCAGCAAGAGGAGAGAATTAATAATCAGATCTTGGGAATTAGAGGTTTAAAGAACGTTCCTGTGCTTCATAGTAACTGCTGGTCCATGGGCACTTTGGTGATGTACAAATTGACCCTGATATCAATGATTCCTAATGTTCACTGGTTTTCATCTTTTTCTGTCTCTTTTCAGGAATTAGAATTAGGCACTGTAAACCTTGTTGCTGCTGATCCTATTGATGCTTGTCATTCAGTTGACAATGGTAAGGCTCTGTGGGGGTCAATAGCCTTAGTTGAAAGAGGGTGAGTGAGTGCAGACTTAACAAATTTATTGGACAGGGTTGACTCTTTACATCTAACATCAGTATACATGTTCTCCACATTGTTCTCTATCAATTTCCTGAGACGCTGACAATGAGAATGTGTTTAACAATCAAAGGGTTAAACATGATGGTGAGATAATCAGGTTTAAATGTGCTATTTCCTGCAACATCTGACAACACTTCTACATGTTTGGGACTATCATTTATAGGTATAGTGTTACCAAAGGAGTGCCAGCAAGACTTATTTCTATCTTTGTAGCCAATCAGAGTTGATATTGAGAAACCAATGCTTAGTAAATGGAGAATACATAGCCTGCATTTAGTACTTAATGAGTTGTATGTTTGTCTACATGTGAGTAGTGTTTACTGCAAGTTCTCCAAACTCCCCTCCGACTAATCCTTTGAGGCCACCAAGTCTGGAGTAAAGTGATGGGCCTGCCCCCCTGCTTATTACACTATCTCGTTGTATGGAGACTAATGCATATCTGATGCCTGTAAAAACATGAGTAACCTTATACTCTAGGGGTTGTTCCTTTGTCTCCAAAACCAAGACAGTGGAACATCATGGAGCTATTGCTGTATTTATATCAGACAATTTACAGTTTGACAATGCAGAATCTTTAGTGGACATGATCCATGATGGAACAACAAGAGAAGTCAGTATTCCTGCTGGATTCATCTTGGGATCTGATGGGTACTGCATTTTATTGATGTCATTACTGTCATTCACAAGTGAAATATTTAGCTTACCACAATGTTATTTTTTTAATTTTAGATTATTTGTTTGAAAGAGGATTTAAATGATTTAACTATTTTCCAGTAATTCCAAGAGCTTAGTGACATTTTCATTTGTCATTATAACCATATATTTAAGAGTCCTCTTTTTTCAGAGTTTCAATAAATCTGTTTTGATAAGTTAGAGCCAATTTAAATTTGAAATAAGAAAGAAGGACTGCATTGAGGAGAGATTATGAACTAACTGTGAAGATTTGGTGCAAAGCAAAGCTATCACTATGTGGTTGTTGCAGCCTGGCTCTCCTGTGACCCAGTAGTTTCTTTCCTTACCCATTCCCTCAGTTGGCCTTCTCAAGAATTTAACCAGTTATCCTACCTTTCATGTGTACTGGCATTTTTAGTTTGAAGAGCTCCTTATTTTAGCAGCACAGTTGTAGTTGTGTAAGACATCATTTGCGAAAACTCAGCTTTCATTTTTAAGGCACTGTTAACACTTACTTATAATTTTTCTCCATATAACCAAGGTATAATTTACAAGACTTACACTCGTCTTTAAAAGGATGCTAATGCTGACTTTCATTTTTATTTGGTGGTCTTTTACATCTGAATACTAATTAGCTCAGTTTTTCATTAAGACTACATGCAGTGGTGGGCTCACACAGTGTTTGTTAAATTGCCAGGTATCACATCAAGCGTGGAATTGAAGAAGCAGGAATGGAAGCAGCGGTTATATCAATTCCACTCAACATCACTACAAGTCCACATCTTTATACCAGGCAACCACCTTGGTCGTATTGGTGATACAGATTTTTTTATTTGGAAATTTTGACAGATAGTCCACTAAATATATATTTAGAAGTACGGCTGTCAGTATTTTGTGGTGCAGCTTAGATTGACATTGTATATAATATAAAGGCAAGTTTCTAAAGAAACTGTGGTGATGCACTAGTGAGGGTATTATAAGATAGCACTAGATTCTGAAAAAAACAATGCTTTACTATGCTATTTTATCTTTCTAGTGTTAAAATGTTTTCTATTGTATGCTTTAATTGTTGGATACACAAACTTCTGTAGTTTAAGGAAGTTCAGCATAGCATAATACCTTTTATTAGGCCATCAAAGTGTTATTTGGAGGCCTCTATTTAGTCTCCTGTCTCCCAAGTAGTGTTGATTTGTTTTCCAGAAACCTATACACATAGGATTCTACAAATGTACTATGTATGGAGTTTGCTTTTATTTATAAGACATGGAATACAAATACATCAGAGATCTGTATTGTATTATGAAAGGAGGATATTTTGGGAACTTGTTCTTGGTGATAGTTTAAAAATAGCTGCAGCTTTCTAAGATGTCAAATGTCAACTTTTGTGCTCTCATGGAGTTGGTTGACCTGTATTTTTGTTTTGAAATAATTGGACATTTTAGTAAGCTGAAAGAGGAGTTTTTCAATTCTGATGATATGTACCCCCAAGAAGTAGTAGTAGTAGTAGAAATGATTATTGTGGTATGTTAAGCTGCTTTTTGCCAAAATGTAGGCCTTGTCAAACGTTATGGTCAAAGTAGATATCTTACATATGTAAGAAATAAGAGAAACGTCATGGATACTAATACAGAAGATACAAATCAGATAGGCTTATGAAATCACAATGAAGATGCTGAGCTTGTACTTAATAATTAGATAATGCAGTTAATATTTTGACCTCAGGAGCATTGATCATGTTGTGTGGTCTTCTGATTTAGGGTCCTTAGTAGAATTGTTATCAGTAGTAGTGACTGACATTTTGTCAACCTGAGCAGAGGTCATAATTAAAGATGACAAACTATTACTAATACAGCTTTTTTATTCTGTGCAAATATTTTATTTATCCAGTATTTAGCTGGTTTGTCAGAAGTTGCAAGAGTTGTCTTTCATTTCCTACAATTTGATTGGTTTCCTTAAACAAGCCTTGAAATCGGATTGGTTGTTGTGTTTTAGTAAAGCTGTCCAATTGGTTTCATTGACTGGGAGAAAGAAAGCATAGAGGCAAATTGGTGCAATTCATGAATAAATCACCAATGAGAGCCAATCAGATTACAAGGATCAACAATGTTTTCATAATGGTGTGGAAAATAGTGCTACTTACTATTTACAGTAATTTGGAGAGGACTGGATGGACACATCACTATCATTGCCCACAAAAAGTCCAGACATGCTTATTGGCACTACACATATTGGTTTACACCATCCCTTATTACAGCGGAAGGAAGAGCTCCTTCAAAGTTACTGTTATCCTTTCCATTCTGTCTTGTTCTTTCACTTGAATCAGGGTGTACCAGTCCATTAAAATCATTAATTGGTTCTGCATGTCCAAATTTTTTAGCTTTATTTTGTACCTGATGACCTTTGAGAGAATAAAGACCATACTTACACATATTTGCCTAGTAATGTAGGTAACCACTTCTACAAGAAACACCTGCATTTAATAACTATTCAAACTTCAATCTTAAAAGATTCTAGCATGACTTTGAGGCATGAGGAACAAAACTGCAATCTTTGTTTGTTTCTTTTGTCTTGTAACTCCAGAAGAGACTTAAGAACAAATAGAAAAAACAAACAAAAAATCTACCCAAAAGCTTGGATGCCTTGTTAGAATTGACATGCATCAAGCATGGGCTACCCAATGGAGGTTCACATAGCCAACATTCTTCATTACTTTGAAAATTGGTGATCACTCGTCAACATAGCATGGCCTGGATTTTTCAAAGGAGGTGAGAGTATTACTGTTTCAAACAGAGGGAAATTACCAGATTGTCATGTTGACCTCCACACTGTGTGTTACTTAATGTGACAGAAAAAAAAAGGCTTAAAGGGTGAGGAGGTCATTAGCACCCAAGATACCACTAGCTATAACCTTCAGCAGTAGTCACAGCGCCTCTCGAGCACACAATTGCATAATTTTTTGCAATTTTTTTGACGCCTTTAGATAACTGTAATTGTACGATACGGGCTCTTCTGTTTCCGTCCTGAGACAACTCTAAGATCCCTCGAGATACTCAACCGATACTTCGAACGATACTTGCTGTTGCTCGTGTAGCTCGTGTAGCCCGTGTAGCCCTAGCGTAGACCCCAGTCACCAACCTAAGGAGCTGAGAATGCTGGGAATCCAGTTACTGCTCATGCCCAGTGAAACCGGGAGAGGGCTCTTAGAATCATTGAAGTCTCCAATGGTGGAAATGAGAAGTAAAGTGGCCTAAAATTCGACTGTTTGGGACCGTTCCCAGAATTTAGGAAGAACATTCAACGATTGTCCAATGCTTTTTGCCACTGTCAGGAAAAGTTGTATCAATAGGCCCTTGCATCAGCGCAAATTCGATTCGACTCTTATTGAAGTACAGGGAAGTTGCTATGTCTCGGCATGAGGGTAAGTTTGTTTTCTCTTTTAGATTTGGAAATTGTGGCTTCCCTTCTGGAAAGCAGTTGTCCTCTTAAATTTCTTTATGTCACTGATGCCACAGTGTTTCAAGTTGTGTTTATCTCAGCCACAGTCTCTAAGAGTAGTCGTTTTCTAGAGTTGCATCCATAGTTCCGTTACGTTCACTTACACGTTCGAAAGGTGTAAATGAGCATGTTTGCTTGGGTTCTTTTCAACGCGCGGCGTCGAAACTGAGAGACCTCTCCTTTTAGTGGCAAAGTATGGCACACATTAAATACAATATTCTTTCTTATACTTCTTTGTATTCGACGTGAGTAATAAACTGGTGCAGTCACTTTATGATATTACCTATACATTTAAATATTTCACTGCGTCCTAGTACATAAGTTACATAGCTGTTGCTTTAAGGTTAATTTTCATCACCTCAAGACTGCTATCCTTGTCGTTTTACTGAAAATTGTACGCTGGGAATTGTGTGTAAATGTTTTATAAAAAATCAATTCCTCAGTACAACCACTTTCTGGTCAGCTAATAATCAAGAGGATACAGAGGGACTAAAATTAATTTGGTTAGTTTCTCTGTAGCTTTCCTGCCTTTTTTTTAAGAAGAATGATGCATTAGATTCAAAACTACTGGTTGAAAGGGAAAGTAGTGAGGAAGGCCAAGAGCTTATTTGTGTATGACTAATGGCAGCAAATTAATTTTAGCAAATGACTTTTTAAGGGACACTGGCAAGGCTGTGTATGTGTGGTTTTACTTGTTCTATCAGCTCAGATTTATGTTCCTTTTTTACAAAGTATTTCTCACCAAAATTGTTTCCAATTCTGTTGTGTATATTTCATAGGATTCTTTGGTGGCTAGGAAAGGGCAAATTACCTAACAGTTATACAATATTTATGGTTAAGAAGTTGCAAATGAACTTGACTAAAAAACTTGTTTAATTATCAGTATGAATTGCTCACTAGCTGATTCAAAAATAAGATTTTTTTCTCTGTTGAGATGTGGGTTGAAATCAGTATCCTAAGTACTACTGCTATTCTAGGTTAAAAACAAAGCAATTTTTTCTGTATGTCATATACCACAAGAGAAAGAAATTGGTCATGCATTTCATAACAATGGATTCTGTGACAGAAAAATATACAAATATCTGGGATAATGTTATAATTATGGTATTGTATTTACCAGGTAAGGCAGAGAGATTTCTTATGACTCCTTTTCTAACTCATGATTAGAATTTAGAACCTAGCTATGTTGTAAGGGTTAAACAAGTGAAATTTCCATGGTAATGTTCTGATTATCAAAATGTGGGTATTAGTTAAATACCTAGAGAAGACTGTTTTAGTTGTCAAATGGTGTAATGTCCTTTTATGCTATATTCTGTGGTTAGCTCTCTGCTTTATTCCATGAATTTATGTTCTTTCATTTTGTGAGTATTGTTTTCTCCATGACAGACCTGTGACCTGCACCCTACTGCACACATTCACTTAATCTTTGAGCTATTATAATTTAGTTCTGTGCAACGATCTAAGGAGAAATTAAGAATTGAAAATTTGGTCCAACAGTTGACAGTATACAATTTTGAATCACCAGTTCTGCAAAAAATGTATTAGCCATTTTGAAGGAATAAGAAAAAAAACTATCACCAAGAGTCAATTTCTCGACCTTTTTGCTTGCAGAGGGAAGGGCAATCCATTGGGCCAAGTAAGCAAATGTAATTTTTAGACAATGTGCTTTATGAGGACCAAGAGGTTCAAAATAGGAATTCAACTCATTGGCCTTGGTCTTTCACCCTTCATAATTCATTTTCCAAGTTCAGAGACCCACAGCCACTTTGACTTTCACAATTGTTTGCATGTGGGTACTTTTCTAAGAGTCAAGCTCAATTTCATCAGGGAAGTGGTAGTTTTGATTTTAGTTGCACAATCGTTCCCTGTATCACAGCATTCAATGACCCTTTTACTTAGAGCTATGCCTAGATTGGGTAGCTTTTTTTGCAGTCGGTAAAATGTCATGAATGTACAACTGGTTTTATGAATCACATCACCCTTGATTGCTTCTGCCTACATCACCTCTAGCTCTGCAAAATGAACCCTCTATGGGTTTGCCTTGTATCAAAGGAACCTTTTTAACTAAAAGTGGTGCTTAAGAAAGTCCACTTATCAAGAAATGAGCCTTGTTAGAGAATATTTGAGCCTCATAAGGGGATAATGGAGATCCAGTGTAAAAACAAAAGGCATTTTATAGTAGTGTACCCATTGGGTACCTATTTTTGTTTATCTATATTTAGGATTTTAGCCAAATTAAAGGTACAATTCATTGAAGGGAAAACTAATAAGTGCTCTCCTCAATTAAGTACCCTCCTTCATGATAGCACCCCTTTTTAGCCAAAATGTTAAATAAGGACCTGGGGTTTATTGAAGGAAACATGGTAGTTACTGTAATTATTCGATTTAGTGCCTGGGGGGCTTAGTTATGTATGCTACATCTAGGAAGGGCACCTAAAAGGGGTACAGGGTGCTTTTTCTTTTTTGGAAAAATAGCAGGTTGTGCAAAACAAATCCTTGATATTTATTTAAAAAGGAACAATATCAGAAACCATAAGAATAACAAATGTACAATGAATATTTGCAAAAAAAATGGAAGGGAATATACTCTAGTATTTCTTTCACTTGAAAAAGATGGGGCACATTATAAAAATACAGGTGCTTGAGTGTCTTAAGGGAGTGCTCATTGGAACAAGGGTGCTTTAAATGGAAATCAAATCATTTTAGGAGATATTGGCCCAAGTTTCAATTTTTGCTTTCTTAAGCATTTTTGGCAGTGTCATCAAATGATAAGAGAACGTTTTCAAAACACCCTGAAAAGGTTCTGTGGAAGAGGTTCTTGTAGAATTTTCCTAATCAATTCAGAAGCCTAACACATTTTTCATTGATGCCAGCATCTACTGTGTTACTTAAATTGTAAGAACACTTTTCAACCAATTTGTTGAAGGAATGATCATTGACCGTGTTATTGTTTAATACTGTATGTATTTTCAGCAATGTATTGGCAAATAATTTAACTTATGTAAAGAGTTAATAAGTTTAAACTACCTAGTTTGTTTCATGAATTTGGGTTTGGACAATTTTAGGTGACTATGTCAATTCTAACATGCCATCCAATTTTAGATGACTAATTGTGACAGCAAATGTTATAGTGTTGTCTTTTTCCAGTGATAACAGTTATGTAGTCTTTAGTCAATAATGAATGGCTTTTTAAAACTTTCTCAAAGGTTGCTCTTTATCTTAAATCTATTCATAAAGACTTTTGAGCTGTGGAATCATCTAGTCATGAAATAATTTGTTTGTTCTTCTTTGAGTTCATGTTGGTTCAATTTTTGTCATTGTGGTGATTACATGTAAGTACTTATCTCTCCCC